GCTGGCACGGGCGGAGCGTCTGAGTTGGATTGGTTTTGTTGGCCCTGAAACTGCTGGCTCGATGCCACCTCCAACCACTGGCTCGCTCAGCACGAACTGACCAGCTTGCCGGACGTCGCTGCTAGTTGTCTGGTCGTTGGCGGAAAAGAAGGGCCCTTCCGGAGATGAGTGCTCGATGGTCGCGGGTGTCTCGAAGGGTTCTTTCTAAACCGACGTCGATAAGGCGCGGGCTCATACTTGATCCAGGTGCCTACGCTGCACCCCCCTTGGCGTGTTGACAGTTAACAATCGTTTGCCTTCGACTGTTGTCATGGTTCCTGGAAGCCACGTTTGACCTGGCTGACCATATTGTCGACTGCAAACCTGTATTCCTGGTGCATACTTTTTTGGGGGTTTGGAAGTCCATTGACGGTAGCCTCCTTCGCCCCTTTTTTCTTTGCAAGGAAGTTGCTTAGGTATGTCCGTGGCTGTAATCCCAGAAGTCTTTCTGCGGGCGACTGCTCTTCTTGGGTCGGCATGGTCCTGTAACGTAACAAAAATTTGGAAAGTAGACTTTGCAGCATTCCCACACTATTTTTTCAGGCCCTCCTTTATGGTGCGTGCAACCCATTCTGCCAACCCGTTGGATTGCGGGTAATATGGGGCAGTCGTTACGTGGCGCACACCATTTTCCGGGAAGAACCGTGCTGTATCTACACTGGTCAATTGCAGACCATTGTCCGACACAACAGTTCCTGGTGGGCCAAAGCGTGCGAAAATGCCCCTGAGTACATCCACTTTCGTTTCCGCCGTGGCCGTCTTCATTGTCACTGCCTCTATCCACTTAGTCTCGGTGTCGACAAGAACCAAGATCATATATCCTTCCACTACACCAGCTAAATCCATGCGTAGGCGGTACCAACGTGCATTGTCCTTCGCCCAGTTTACTGGAACCTGTGCAGGGGACATGGGAAAACACTGCACGCACTGGGGACACCGTTTCGCCAGCATCTCAATATCATTGTCTAGCCGTGGGTACCAGAAAATCGAGCGCGCAAGGTTTTTCACTGCTGTGATCCCAGCATGCGTGTCAAGCAGCTCTTTCAAAGCAAAATTTCGATCACCATTAGGAAGGACCACACGGTGGCCCCAATACAGTGTCCCCTTACTCACGGTCAATTCCTGCCTCCGTGCAAAATATTGTTGATACTGTTGTTCGTCGCCCCGCCACGGTGGTCTAGTGGCTAAGGTACTCGGCTGCTGACCCGCAGGTCGCGGGTTCGAATCCCGGCTGTGGCGGCTGCATTTCCGGTGGAGACGGAAATGTTGTAGGCCCGTGTACTCAGATTTGGGTGCACGTTAAAGAACCCCAGGTGGTCAAATTTCCGGAGCCCTCCACTACGGCGTCTCTCATAATCAAATGGCGGTTTTGGGACGTTAAACCCCACATATCAATCAACTGTTGTTCGTCTGCCTCCAGGCGCTTTGGCCAGCCCTTCAGTATCCAAGTCTTTACTTGCTGAAGTGTGCAGCCTCTGCTCCTGTGATTAGACACATTCTGCGCAGACAACACAAAGTTATCCAGCGCCTGCGCATGGAGGACATAATCGGCAAGTTCTTTTTTGCTGCCATCATCACGGACAGGCAACGGCAAGCGGCTCAGAGCATCAGCATTCGCATCCAACTCCCCCTCATGTATTCCAAATCATATTGATATGCTGCTAAGAGCAGCGCCCAACGTTGACTTCATGCCGCTGCCTTTTGCAGGATGGGTTTGTCTGGACTCAACAAGCCAGTCAAAGGCTTGTGATAGGTCACCAGAGTGAACTTATTGCCAAACAAATAATCTCGGAACTTGACAACGCCAAAAATTAGTGCTAGTGCCTTTTTTTAATTGTGAATAGTTACGTTCTGCCGACGTAAGAGTTCTGAAGCGGAAAGCGATAGGAGGATCCACCCCGTTAATGCGGCGAGACAAAACTGCACCTATTCCTTCCGCCGACGCATCACACTCAAGCCGCAGGGGTTTCTGAGGATCATAATGCACAAGAAAGTTTGCGTTGCTCATGGCGTGCTTGGTTTCTTGGAATGCTGTCACCTGTGCGTTCCCCCAACACTAGGGTACCGATTTTGACAACATGTGGTGAAACGAAGCCTAAGTGGTTGACAAATTTGGTAGAAACTTCGAGTAATACGTCACCAGTCCTAAGAATGATTCAAGCTGGCTTACCGAGGTCCGTGGCGGCGCCACCAGCACGGCTTCTACGTTGTCCTGCAGGGAGTGAAGGCCTCTTGCGTCGATTCGGTGACCAAGAAATACCACTTTTTCCCCTGGAAACGACACTTCTCTCTGTTCAGCGTGAGGCCATTCGCCCACAGCCGTTCCAACACTTGGCGTAGTAGCGTGGCATTCTGCGCCTTTTCCGCTACAATAATGTCGTACAGGTAAACTTTCACCCCGGGCAACCCCTGTAGTACGACTTCTATGCGCCGCTGAAACAGCGCAGGCGCCGAGGCGATACCGAAAGCCAAGCGATTGTATCAGAAGAGGCCCTTGTGCGTATCCAGCACAGCTATCTTTTTTTTTTGCATCATCATCCAAGGGAAGTTGGTTGTATGCGTTCCACAAGTCAAGCGTGCTAAACACCTCGCCCCCCGCTGGCGTGGCAAAGATGTCTTCGATTTTCGGAAGCGGGTACTGTTCTTTTCTTGTCGCTGGAATGACCGTCAGCTTAAAGTCTCCACACAGCCGGGTGTCTCCGTTTTTCTTTACCACCGGTACAACTGGCGTTGCCCATTCAGCCACGCTGACTGGGGCCAGAACTCCCACTTCCACCAGTTGGTCGATTTCGGCGGATACTTCCGCTCTCATGGGGAACGAAACTGTCGGAGCCTTCAGAAACCGAGGTTGGGCGCCTTCCTTGAGGTATAGTTTCACCGGTAGTCCCTTACAGCATCCGAGGCCCTCAAAGCAGTCGGAAAATTCGTCAAGAAGTGCGGTGAGCTCACTGTCGACGTGCACAACATTCACCATAGACGACATGCCTCTCTCCAAAAGGAAGAAGCCAGCTTTGCGAAATTCTTCTATCATGTCTCTTCCACACAGCAGGGGCCCTTTTTGGTCCACCACTATCACAGAACTGCTCACCATTACCGGACCAAGCTTTACCCTCATTTCCACCTTGCCCCAGACCGGTTATGGTCCCAGCAAACATGAAAGGCGTATGGGAGTTTTCTGCAAAGCCGGCCACCACTTGCAGTGTTTCTTGTACACGCTCTTGAAAATTACACTTACTGGTGATCCCGTGTCGACAATCATTCGCAGCCGACGGCCTTCCCACAGTAAGGAGTGCTCAATTGGCTGCAGTAAGCGCTTATTGGCCGAGCTGTGTGCGACAAGAGTACAAAATGTCTTCTTCATGTTCGCATTCCGTTCCGTCGACGGCGAACGTTCCCGACATCAAAGCATGGGATCTTTCGCAGGCTCTAGCAAGATGTCCTCTGTTGCCACATTGATGGCAGATAGAACTGCGATGTCGACCCGACGCCGTGGTATGCGGCCCTTTCCATCTGTCGCATGAGAGACCAGGACTTCGCGGTAGGTCGTTTCTCCTGTACTTCTTTCCTTGCTGCTGTTTCTGTACCATGTTGACGCCACCGCCTCCAGTTATTGCGTATGGAGCTTGTATGCCACGAGCGTCTTCGGTCGCTTTTTCAGAAGCTAAGACAAATTCTTCGGCTTCTTCTAGAGTCAACTTCTTGCGGCCCAGCAAGCACCGACGCACTTCATCGTTCCGAATACCACAAATGATTCGGTCCCACAACATACGGTCCAGTGTCGTTCCGAAATTACAATTTACGGCAAGTATTCTCAACTTCTCAACTCAGCAATGGAGTCGCGAATGCTTTCTTGCTCTTCTTGCCTTCGCGTGAAGAAGGTATAGCTTGAGGCTATTTCCTTTACTTGAGGGTTGAAATGGTCTTCCAGGCATTTGACAACGTCGTCATACGTCAAAGAGTTAATGGGGACCCCCGGGTGGCGCCGTTGCAAAATCCAGACGACACTCTCACTCAATGACAAAACCCGTGGGGCACGGCGTTTAGCTGTGTCGGTAATCTCGTTGCCCTCAAAGTAGGCTTCCAAGCGTACACGATACGTACTCCAGCTACTCACAGCGTTGTTGAAGGCCGGGAGTCGAGATCCCATTACTCTGGTGTCAGAATCGAAGTGCGATCAAGATCCCATCCTCGTCGTAACATTATTATTGTACGTAGGTGCGAGGAAAAGACACTTCAAGGCAGGAACAAGACTGAATGTTTATTCAAGAGGATGCTTTTATACCCTGGCCAGAGGGCCGGAGCATGCGCCCTGACGAGGGGTGAAGGCACGTGTGGTCGGCATGCTTCTCGCATCTCTATCTGATGATCAACGATATTCACTTACAAGGTTTTTGGAATTATAAGCTGTGTAATGCTATCATTTTATGTTTATTATTGTCTGTGTTTTTATGGGTAACCCGCTCCATCTCCAATGTACTTGTACCCTGAAGGTGCTATGAATATAATTACCCAAACAAAATAAATAAACAAATATTAAAACTACAACTATTCTGGCGAGTCCAGACTTTATAAACAGCGTTGCAGCACTGCGACTACTTCAGTAGGTCTGGTGTGAAATGGGGAGCTCCTTTCACAGCATTTACTCTTGATAACAATACAAAGAGTGTGGGCACGGCATACCAGGAGAACACGCCATCGTATCTATAAATCGAGTGATTAAAGTTCCTTTAATTAGATGGAAGAACCATTTTGCCATTATGGTGTTCGACCAAATGTGAACAACCTGCAAGTGCAAATAGGTAAATTTAAGAATCTATGCTTGCATCCACTTTTTGTTAGTGCTTTTCGTAGGGGGTTAATGGCGTAAAACAACAGGCAGTACACATGGCTGCATTGAAGACGTCATATGCGCTCTCTTGCAATGAATTTCGACTTATTTTGCTTTGCCGCCCATTGACCAGGTGGTGTGGCCGCGCCACCTCTGGGAGCCCCCGCACTCGGCGGTGCTCCGGTGGGCCCTCCGTCATACCCGATCCTTCCTCCGGCTTCACCATCCGGAGGTGGCCTAGCCCGAGCACAGTGTGACCGAGCCCTGAACGAGCCTTACTTTGAGCTGCGCAGTGCGGATCTGGGGTCGGGAAACCTCGACTGCAGGTGAGGTTTTGAAGCTATTGCGGACGCTCGTATACTTAAGACACAGGAAAAAATGAATCGGACTAATGGTATATACGAGATTGTTAGAAAGCTCGAGTCGTCAAGATACTGCCAACAAATATCGACACACAGTCTATGACATAGGCCGTAGTACAAAGCGGAGCTCATTTAGACACGCCCAACAAATATATTTTCCGCTTATTGCATTCAAGCTTTCTCACTTCTATTCAATATCACTCATGCTCGCCGAAATATTGTCCACCTGGACTCACTCGAAGTGAGGGTAGCAGATCAATCTCAGTCAGGATGAGTCGACATGAGCAAGTTCGCAGACTTATGGTTCATGGTTATTGCAAGAGAACCAGAACCATTTTCAAGCGGCTCCATTTATTATTCAGTTAGATTCAGTTCTTACGATTGCACTGTTGATGGGATATTATTTCCCTCTTGTGAGCTACAATGGAATGCGCGTTACCAGTGGCAATTGGAGGCATGCCTGATTGCCTAAGGTTTCTGCTCCAGATTTTCTATTCAATTAGCGCAGTGAACTCTCACTTGGGTGAACTTCAATGCACCCATGGAATTCGTTTTCTGAAATAAATGTTTAATAAACTGGATATCACTGGAGCACTAATGGACACTGGAAATAACAATTGAATTGTTTAAAAATCCAGCCTATTTTGAAGAGGTTTGCAATTTTTATTTGGACCAGTGCACCTAAAGGGCCAGAAGAGATAAAGCTGACCGAATAGTCTACGTTTCTGTACCCTGGCTCTGACAAAGGCGGTTAGTGGGAGACCAAGTCTCGCACATTTTTAATGTATCAGCTTCGGCTAGAGATACTGGACGTGAACTTGCCTCTGTCCTTATACATTCTTCATCGCATTTGCTTCTGCAGTTTCCGGACGAACAGAAGAACTTATTACCGAATTTTATAGTCCTGCTCGCCACGCCGCGGTGGTCTAGTGGCTAAGGTACTCGGCTGCTGACCCGCAGGTCGCGGGTTCGAATCCCGGCTGCGGCGGCTGCATTTCCAATGGAGGCGGAAAGGTTTTAGGCCCGTGTGAACAGATTTAGGTGCACGTTAAACAACCCCAGGTGGTCGAAATTTCTGAAGCCCTCCACTGCAGCGTCTCTCATAATTATTTGGTGGTTTTGGGACGTTGAACCCCACATATCTATCTATCTTTTAGTTCTGCACAGGTACAGATGTGCACGGTCACACTTCACATAGTTTTTAAACGAAGCATTGCTGCCAACATTCAGCTGGTGAACGGGAACTCACGCGCACATGGCTTGTTTTCGTCTCCAGTATACGGCCACTTTGTCTCGTCAGCGCTGAATGTACAGGCTGTTTTATACTTAGGTGAAATATTGGAGCACCTGGCATCGCGGTCTGACTAGCGCTGCAATCGCGCACCGGCAGCAGCTCACGCTTGCGCAGACGCTTCAAGAGTGTAGAGTTGAACCACGTCGTCTACTACGGCAAGGCCTGTGTCGCATGATTGACCAGCGCACAGGTATCATTATTAATCCGGGAGCTGAGTCTACACGCCACACGAATCATTTTCAGAAAAATTGGCACCGCAAGAAGACATGCGAAGAAACAAGGTACGACAAACTTGTGCGTGCTTTATTTTTTGTGTTCCCTTTTTCTTCGCAGTTTTTTTTAGGTGTTCCCGTGCCAGTTTTTCCAACTTCCTATGCTTGTCTGCACTAAACATTGTGCTATGCCAGCCTCCCTGCCTTTATTCTTGATAATGGGACACTAAAAAAAGTCTTTGACAACATACCTTGTTTGCTCTATAGAAACATCATGGCACTGAGTGCGTTTGCAAACGTTTCTTCGTTGTGAGCGCGCTACAATAAGCTTGAATGAGTAAGACACGAGAATGAGCATGCACCATGCGTAGGCTCTATTCGGCTTTAAATAATATGAAGCACTCAGTGGTGACTGATGAGCAGCTGATCAGTTTTAACACAACAACACAAATGGGAATGAATTCAGGAATGATTTAGGATAGAACAACCACCTAAACGTGCTTATTCTCGACGATATTATATTGCAACAGAAAGGACTCTACCACAGAACACCCTTGAGGATGCCAAAGCATGGGCAAGTCATTTGCGTGATGCGCATGGTTCTGTTTCGAAATGCATAGCCCTTACATCGGAAGCCCTGGTTGTGTACCGGCATCTCCTTCATATGTGGGAAAATAGACACAGCCTAATTAAGCGATGGAAGCGCCAGCGCCTCAATGGTAAACTGCGTCTCAAAATCGCAGAAGTTTCGGAGCACGCCAACGAATATGCTCGTAAGCTTACCGCGGAAAGCTGGGTGCAGTTCTGGAACTCGATGAGAAATACCTCAAACACAGCGAAAACAAGGGCTATTTTGAGAAACTTGCCCGACCCTGGTAGCACTAAATCTACGGCGTTCAGGACGATCCAGAGGTTGGTGAGTGCTTTCGCAGGCACAGAGGAACAGCTGTTTAAGGTTCTGCATTCGACATTCGTGGGTGACGCTGGCAGCCCACCATGCACGCTTGGATACGAGGGCACGCCACATGCAGCACTGGATGAACCTATCACAAGGGCTGAACGTTTTGCCGCGTCACGTGGTGTGGAGGACAGCCAACACTTGCTCACATTACATAGGAACGTAAGTTAAGGCCAGTTAAAATTAGTTCATCTCAGATTTCGGCAAAAAAATTCACGATGGAGCCGTAGGAGACTGCTCGCCAGCGAGAAAAAGGAGGCCCAAGTGGCGCTCCTGGACCAGGCGCGGAGGGCTGCTGAGGCCAGGGGACCCCTGGGCTAGGGGCCCACCCACCTGTCTCTAACCCCTATTTCATTTTTTTCTCTGTATTAAACGTTTTTCCATCTATCCATCCAGCGGTAGGGATGCTAGCGCTCATTCTAGATGGCAGTGAATTCCTGGTGTCAGCAATGTGTTTCGCCGCAGCATGTTCTATTCATTGACAATAAGGGCGTGGACAAGATCTAGATTGAGCTTAAATAAATAGGTGTCCATCTGCCGTACGTTTTTATTTTATTTTCTTTTCTAAAAAGAGCAGTACTGCGTTGTTTGCCAGGCTTACCATGGCCCGTATACCAGAAAAAGAGGATAATAGAACTCTGTTGTAAATACTACTCTACAATTCGGAGCTGGCTAGCGAGTCTTGTGGTAATGAAATGTCGTCGTAAAGAAGCACGTTCAGGCTTTGTTCTTACCTAAAGCATTCCTGAATTTGTTCCCATTTGTTTTATCATGGTAAGCCAGCGCAGCAGTAAGCCTCTTACTGTTGAGTGCTTTTTTATTCAATGTCAAATCAAGACAATGCACATTGCATGCTAGTTACAGTGTCTTTCTCGTACAAGTGGACTGCAGTGCACACACTGAGAAGTATTCATGAACACACACAGCACCACGGCGTTGTTAGTGCCATCTGCAACACTTTGCTGGTTTTTCGCATGTTTCTAGATTGCCAGCGTTTTACCCCAGCAAACTTTCAGTTAATGTATAGCGCCTGTCCTCTTGAACTGTCTTTCTTCTTTGTTTGTTCTGGTGCGCTTTCTAGGATATAGTAGTTCAATACCAACCGACTAGCCTGGATTCCTTCGTTGAATGATCCTCCCATCAATGGCCGTTAAAGGCATCCTTAGACTGTGCCACAGAAGGTATGATGTCGTATATTGTAATGCACCAGAAAATACTCACTACTACCGCAAAACGATTGCTACGCTCGTGGATACGTCTTACATCTCAGTAGTTATGTTAGAAATAATCTGGAATAAGGAAAAGGGAAGTTTAAAAGCAAGTTGTAGTAAACGTTAATCTAAGTAATTTCATGCTATTGTCTCAGCAACTCATACTTGCACTGGATTAACAGTTTTTGAGAATAACTTCAAGCATTTTCTCAATGGGACAGTGAATGTCTGATTTGATGATACGCCATACCATACTGCACTTAACTGTATTGCACACCTGCTTCCTCAGGTTTATCGTGCGTCGCCGGGGCCCCGACCAATGCCGTCTTGAGTTGCTGTTTGTGCGCTTTGACGTTGATTGCAACCAGGACCAGTTTCGTGTGCAAGACGTTCAGATATGCGGCCGGCTGGATCATTATTCAACGCGTAAGTACGGCCAACGTTGGTCATTATGCAGTACATAAGTGCTGAGTGCAGCCGTAAAATAAAAGAGAGGTATCACTTTATCCGCAGTCGTATGAAGTATGCACTGCTGTGCACACAAGAGTGGCAGTTGTCACCGTTGCAATCGGTATGTTTTCTAAAGACACCGCTTTAAGCACTACTTTATGTTATCACTTGCTGCGTTAAATAATACTGTAATTAGGGACACTAATCACTCTCGCTCTTGCTGAACGGGTCAATTCTTCGAAAATATTTATATTCAGCTGCCAAAAATATGGAACATCATGCACCGTGATAATTACTTGTAGAGACAAGACCACTCTGTATAACGTGAATAATGGTCGACAAATAGCATCGCCAGGTTTACTCTCGGTATGTTTAGCTAACGTGTCATGCAATGCAGACTGTAACACAACAAAAAAAAATATTACAAATAATAAAACTTTGAAGTCACTTGACACTACATCAAAGAATGTACTATTCTAACATCATATTGTTACACTGAAATTAGCGCTTACTTCAATGGTATAGATTTTTTTTCGGTTGTCATAGTGCTTGCCTCGTTGTATCAATTGAAAAAAAAACATGGCTAATCCCTCCGTCATAAAAACGGTATAGTAGGACAGCGAAAAGTATATTCGCAGTAGTGATTATTGTGTACTGATTATGAGAGTATTTACAGGTTCTATTAGTATTTGGCAACTATATCACCATGTGGCATTTATGCACCCATGTGGACGCCTTGTGGAACATCTCCATGGTAGCGATTAACGCCCATTATTATCATTTAACCGCTGTGGTAGCAGAAGTTTTTAATCTACACCCGGACACAGCGTATCGTTAATGACGTGCAACGATGGTATCAACGAGCATGTAAGGCACACTGTACTCGTTATGAACTTCTTTAGAGCATCAATTAAGGAGAAAAACGGCGTGGTGCGTGGTCCCGAGTAATACAATAATTTACGCCTGTGGTCACGCGTACTTTTATTACAGTGTGTGTCAGAAACGCGGGATGCAGAGGTTCGTAGTTTGAGCCACAAACGCCCACAGGCATTCCTCGTTCTGCAGTTCTCTGTCTCGCACCACCACGGCACATATTCACCCATTCACGTTGTTACCTTTCTGCGGGGCTTATTGCGACTGTTTGAGTATTTGGTGGTATCGCACTACAACCTTTCGGTGGCAGAAAAACGCCATTGGTGCGTGTGGCAGCTGCACTGCTCTGCCAACGAGTCCGCACAAGTTAGCGCAAAGTGAAAGGCAAAGAACATAACAGCTTCTAGCGAGCCTCTCCGACGCTAGCGCAGCTTTTTTTTTTTCTTTGTCGGCGTGCCATCTCCTACGCCATGGTTGAACTGCGCTGTCAACTAATCATTCTCCATCAGCATGCCGCACTCGTTTTATTCATCGCTATTCATCGCTAGTCATCGCTATTCGTTGCAGGGTGGCACCATTCTGCCTCGCTTCTGAGAGAACCATGCGGGAGAATGTGTCAAGAATATAAGGCGTGTTTGTAAGGTGCCTTACATGTGCTGTGGTAGCTCAGTCGGATGAGCGTAAGGCACATTCTCTCGCGGGCCGAAAAGTTGCAGGCTCGACTCTCGGTGGGGAGCTCTTTCTAAAAGTTCATTTTTCTTTCTGAGTTGGTAGCGTCTATTTTATCAGCGTCATATCCATGACTGAAATACGTCACTAAAGTCTTTATAGACCCCAGCATGAGACACTTTCATGTTAACTAGGATTGCTCCGTTCATTCAATCCCTCAGGTACCTATGACTTCGACGGACCTGAGTTGTACCTCTACTACCACACCCGATCAGGAGGCCGCGCATCAGACTTTCTCATCAAGGGCCGTCAAAAAGGATGCGCGGAGGCCGGAAGCGCAATGCCGCCTGCTTCTCAGCCGGGTGGGTCTCTCGGTCCACCCGTACCTGGGCACGATGGCAGTCACCCTCGTCACCATGGATCGCCATCTTACCTACCACCTGCACCGCCCATCAGTTACCAGCCACCTCCACCACCGCCTGGGGGCTCGGGTCGGGACCCGCATGCCCTACCACCCCGTTATCACCCTCAGCCGCCTTCCCACTCAGTTGGTGGCACTGGCGGCTATTCACCGTCGGTGCACTACCCGCCACCTTCTTCGCACATGCTTCGTGGTAGCGGACCACCGCCACCCAGTGGACACTACGGGCCGCCGTCTCACTACCCTCCGCCGGCGCCACCATCTCACTACTCGCCACCCGCGCCTTATTATCCACCCTCACCGCACGGTGGACCTCCTGAACCTCGAGGTGGATATCGGCCCGACCATCAAGGTGGCGGGGTGCATATCGGATATCCCCCTTCGCACCATAGACCACCAGTCGATCGGCCACCGCACGGACCTTCACCGCCTGGTATGCCTTGGGCACCACCATCGTCCGGAAGGCGTGAGTGTGCAAGGCGTGATGACAAACGTATTAGACCATTTTTATGCGTACTACAGGCGCATTTAAAAGTTTCTATCTATATATCTATCCATCTATCTGTCATCCGCATACATGTGAATGCTCGTGATCACCACCAAAATCTGGGTAAACCTAAGTTAGTATGAGAGAGGGTAAGAAGACTTGAAGAACATGTCTGGCTAGTCTTTACATAGATAACTATGGGTTGCTAGTATGGGGTACTACTACAAAAGAAAACTTGGAGAAGCTCGCAGTTTTACAAAAACGCGTGATTAGACAATCAAGCAAGGTTCCATACTTCTCACACACCAGTGACCTCTTTATTACATACAACATTGTCCCGGTAAACTCTATCCTTAACTATAACTTATGTTGGCAGTATAATTCATGCTGAACGGGAAAAAAACTAGTACTCTACAAACGGTAGCAGGATTACAGCCCACCCTAATAAAGTATAATATTCGCGAACCTGAAGAATCGTAAATTAAGAAATGTCGTACTAACTACGGTCAACAAATGCTTCGGTTCACGTTAGCTTCTTTGTTAAATATAGTCAGTAAAGAGCAGTTTTTTTAACAGTGCAGAAACCTCCTTTAAAGAACTATGAAGAATTTTCACCACAATATTCTTATCATGAACATTTCTCATAAACAGCGCCCTTTCTTTATTTTTCGTTTTTTGCTCTTTTTCTAGGGAAATATTTCAGTTTTTATTATGTTTCCTTATTAGGTTTCTTTATGGTGTATACGGAAACACGTTGCCTTTTTTGTATGAAGGTTATTCATGTACAATATAGTATGTGTGTATTTCATGTTTCTGTTTCTTTCGCTCATTACGACCTTTTACGCTGTAACACGTGTAGGGTGTCTAGGACACCCTCAAGCTGATTGCACCAGCTTTTTTCCCCTGGTGGTCTCCCACAGCATTTTGTTGTAAATAAATAAAATAAATAAATAACGTGAAAGTTTCATCTCGTACAACACCAAACCAATTCCTTAGACACGGGTGGCACCCCTATACCATGGCACATGGTGTGCAGGTATTAGCCTCAGGGGATTGTCTATTTATATATGCCCAGGAACAGCTACAACAGACATTGGTAATTTAAATGCTACAGCGTTAAGAAAAACTGACATCGGCAGCGTTGATCTGACGAATGCAAAACGAAATATCAGGGTTTAAGCTGGAGTCGAACACAAGCATTCTGCGTGGAAATCAAGTACTCAACCACAGAGCCGCGCAAGGTATCGAAATAGCTTTGAAAAATGATCCTTTGTAGGGACTTAATATTAGTGAAGAGACAATTGTGGTTGGAGTGCTGCCGATTTAATTTTATAATCATTACGTATGTGCTTCTTATATACAGGTGTCAAGGAGCGTTAACGTCACGTGTATACTTGAGCGCCATCCACTAAAATTAGTCTTCATAGCAGTGCTCAGGGCTACTATACTAGCAAGCATAAGCGCTACATATCAGCTTATCTCTTCTGGGATTGTTATTGCCCGTGTTGCTGCTATCATCGATACGCAACAGTAAACAGTTGGTCATATATAACATTTGCGACTGTCGACACAACATCTGTGCACACAAAATTTGGAATAATTGACTGACTATAAATGTAGAGCTTGAATACTACGAATTTAGTTAAAATGACTGCTGTGCATGCTTTTCTAGCAAACGTCATTCCTACGGTATACATGAATTTCAATGTGAAGTATGATGTAGTCTCCAGCTAAATTTGTACAGGAGGTGGTACAGGACATGGGAAAACATAAGCACTGTATGCCTCCATGATGGCTGGTTTTCCATTATAAATATTTTAAGCTGCTGCAGGAGTAACGCACAAGAGCACCCCGTACAAACGGGGGGAAGAGCAAAAAGCATTGCCTGCTTAGATTCAAATGGTGGTCAACTTTAATTGTGCTTCATAATCACAGCGTGCTTTCAACATGTAATACCGTATGGACTGTTTTTAGCCTACAGTTTACGCTCAGCTATAGCGTCACCGCAACGAGGGGGGGGGGGGGGGTTACGTGCGATATAGCACACATGCACACTGGCATATGCGTATTTGTGATATCCCACGACTCGGCTACCTCTTTTAACTACACTGACACTTATTCATACAAAACATCGTAAGTGGCGTCCACTTTTTGTGTACTACAACCAAGCAAGAGCGGGGCGCTCTCTCTATGCCCTCGCTTAGCAGGCGACCCTCCAGCACTTAGCATATGCGTCATTGGTCTCTGTGCGCATGCTCCAGTGAGCTCCAGTAAGCTTCGATGCGCGGCCGTGCCGAGCGCATCGGGGCTCCGCAGAGCGTGTCTACGCTGAGCAGTGTTCACCTTAACAGTGGACGGCACTGCCTGTTCTTGGCAATACAGAAAAAAACCTCGGTTTTACAATGACGGCCCATATGATTTTAGAGGTGATAGGAATTTTTCAGGGGCACTGGTAAAGCCCCCATAAGCCTGCAGTGTAGTGGTGTGCCGTCATCGATTTTCACTCCACGTCGTTTGATGCGAACGTACGCGCAGGTGCACACACGCACCGTGCTTGCCCGCGCTGTTCCAGAAGACGCGGCGATCCGCAGCCCGGGAACCACGGGCAAGCACTTCGCGCCGCTGGTTTGTCAAATGAATTAGGCATCGCAGCCTGTGTACGCGAATGGCAAAGTCCTTAATGCGCCTTCGTGTATCTTCAGGTTTAAATTGCTGAGGCCGCTGGCGTTGCGCTTCTCTTTTCTCCTCCGTTGCCTTCACGCAAGTTGCTTTGCTCGAGCCAGCCAAGTTAATTCGAGCTACATTGAAGCCCCTTCAATCAATCAATCAACCAATCTTTCTTTATTGGCGTCCGAACTGTAATACATTGCAAATAAATATGCAGGTGGAGGTCCCAAGGTAACAAACTGCAGGTGGCACCTCCTCCAGTGGACGGCACTGCATATTCTTGGCAATACAGAAAAAAACCTTGGTTTTACCATGACGACCCATACGATGTCAGTAGGGATAGGAATTTTTTCAGTGGCGCTGGCCAAGCGCCATCAGCCTGCCGTGTAGTGGTGTGCCATCATTACCAAACGATTTTCGCGCAGGTACGCACACGATGACGTGTGCGTATATTCATCTGAAACGTTGTGACACCATCGTTCGCGTGCGCGTTTTCCTCCTTAATTTTCGGATTTCGCTCTTTCCCTGGACGGCGAGGTGGGTACGACACGCTGCACACTCCATGGGCTCGCTGCAGCTGCCTTTAGAATAATCGTGCGAGCTTGTTTCAGTGGCTCCTTTAGGTGTTAAATGACAATCTGTTCCTTGATTGATCGATATGTGGGGTTTAACGTCTCAAAACCACTATATGATTAGGAAAGACACCGCATTTGAAGGCTCCAGAAATTTCCACCACCTGGGGTTCTTTAACGTGCGCCCAAATCTGAGCACACGGGCCTACAACGTTTCCGCCTCCACTGGAAATGCAGCCGCCGAAGCTGGGATTCGAACCCGCGACCTGCGGGTCAGCAGCCGACTACCTTAGCCACTACCACCATGGCGGGCAATCCGTCTCTTAACAATGCGCTGAAAATAGGCTTCCGATATAACATAACGATCACCAAATTTTTAAAGCCTTTTTAATAAATACAAGCGGAAGTATTTCGAGAAAAAAAATCAGTAAAGACGAAAGGCTGAGCGGTTTGCCTCCGGGTTTCCGCTTCACCTGTCCCTAACATGTTTGTAAGCAGCATAAGGCAAAGACAAAGATTTATTCGTAGTCTTGGTGAGTTCAAAAAAAAAGGTTGCCGTGAACAAATGTGGTGGTTTTCTTAAACTAAATAGACCTTGCGCGAATGGCAGCGCCATTTTGCAGGTGCAGTACTAATCACCGGCGTCATTTTGGTTATGTCAGGCGGAGCAGGCGACACCAGGCGCACAAGCACAGAGCACTTGTTTTTGCGTATACCTACGTCGTGAATGCGGCACTGGAACACGTGCTATTGTTTCTTTTATTCATGGGGATCAAAATACCGCAACACTGTTGTCTTCCATTTTGCAATCAACGTGGAGGGACTGACGGAGAAAGAAAGAAAGTGCAGCCAAAGCCACGTCTGTGTAGAGCACGCGAGCAGCCGATTCTCACTCTGTGGGGCGGAAGCTTGAGGCATTGTCGCGCTCTATCATGGTCAGCCTCACAACTAGACAGCGCATGCTTCTGATACACCCTGTCAGAGCCTGCAACTACCTCAAGGTTTTGTCCCGCAGAGTGAAAACTGACTGCTCGCATGCTCTACAGACGTGGCCGCGGCTGTCCGTCTATTTGGTATATGTGACAAATCTTTCGTTAACGTTCGCATTGAGTCGGAGGAGCATCTAGCGTGTTCAATCAACTACCAAGCACTTATCATCAACTACCTAGCACTTATTAATGAATAGGTGTAATTTTCTTATATATCTAATAAATATGTGCTGTAGTATATGCGCAATAAAGTTCTTTGTCTGTCTGTCCGTAGTATATGTGCAACTTGCGCTGAAAACACGTTAGTCCTCATAAGTGCACTTTTGTTACAGAAAAAGGGCGCGATTAGGACAACGTCGTTGCATTTTAATTTTTTTGTTATTTAATCTCATGTAGCACAATTTATTGTCGAGATTTATTAGCCCAGGCAAGCTCTATTGCCTTTTAGTGTGAAACTTGGCGCCTTCTCACGAATCTGTCTAATGAATAAATTTGATGTCGTTTGACAGCTCTAACAAGGAAAAGCATTAACAGGCCAAGTACTAGAGTGTACAACGTTACTCCATACTGATTGGACTCGGTATAAGGTACCGAGTGCACTTTGGTGTAATACAGCGAAATCACTATAGCACAACGATGTTACTTCGGAAGAGCTTGTGAAGAGTGTTCGTCTGTGTCGTACCGATTGGCCACCGTCGTAGTGAATTTAGTAGCGCTGTGTATGCCATTTGTGATGTTACTTCGCTACTCT